AAGATGAAGTGGACTAATAAGRATGAATAAGGATGTTTTAGAGTGTAATGAAAATAGAAAAAAAGAGGCTATATAGATATTATGAAAGTGCTTTGGGACAGCATGGGATATTGATGGGTTGCAAACATTTCCCAAGAGAGTTAAGAGACAAAAACATGGCGGCCATTGTGGTGCCGTCATTACCGGCGTTTACATTACTACACGGCCACCCCAGACACAAATAAAGTCGTGTAGTTTGCAATAGACTTCTGTCAAACATTCATGTTGACGCCATTTATACACGTTTGGATCAGTGAGTTGGCTTTTCTATCAAACTTTCTCATTCAGATATCATGAAGGAAAGTTCCGAAAGCGATTGCAATGAGTTTGAGTACATCCAAGTAGAATGAGAAGTTTGATTGACGGCAGTCTATTGCAAACTACACGACGCGATTTGTGTCTGGGGTGGCCGCGTAGWAATGCAAACGACGGTAACAATGGATGCTAATGAGAAATCTTTTGTTAAATRGCACCAACATGGCCGCGATGATGTAACGTGCAATCGAAGAATACCCAGCTAGGACTCAAGAGCCAAAACCTTCGTGATCAGGATGCTAGTCTGGAAAAAATAAACAACAAAGGAACTGCAGATATAGTAGATTGAAATGCTACTGTGAATGTGATTACGACTGTAATGATGAACTATCTTACCCAAGAATATGCCGAGAATGAAAATCAAAATAATTTGGATGTCGAAGGAGAAAATGGCAATACTCCATTTTACAGTTCCATTCAGTGACCACGAATAATAGTTCCTAGCCGAGGCTGGAGTTACAGCGCATGATAAACTGTAGTTTTGCTATGAGCTGAAACTCCAGCATCGGCAAGGAGCTATTATTCGTGGTCACTGTATGGAACTGTAAAATGGAGTATTCAACGGTAATAGATCTAGATTTGCATATGACTGGGACGGAGCGAGTTCTCGAGGAAAGAACAGATACAATAGGCGATTCATCGGAGGWGTTGAATGATGTCTCAGGGTTCTTACCACTAGAATACACGGAAATCAACAGATTGCAGACAGTTAACTGTAGCCCAATCTCGTACCCAGAGCCCTTATTTCTTACTGCGCATGCTCGACGAAATAATTGGGCTCTGGAAAACTCCAATATTTCCTGTGCTGTAATTGGTTCTCGAGAACAAAGAAAGATACCGGAAGTAAAAATTACAGTACTAGGGAAAATAAACAAGATGGCGTCTCGAATTAAGTACACCAAAAAAGCCTGTAGGGCCGGATCTTTCAAAGTTTTGCCGGTTTTGTAATGGAAATTGTGTTGATGTCCATCCAATAGATATTTTCGGAGTTAATTAACTAAAAACCATCTTCAAAACCTAATTTTCCAAGCGCAAATTCACATGTTCGTTGAACATCGTCCGCCATTTTGAATTTACCTAGTCTGTCATAATGCGCATGTGCGAGAAACCCAGAATCTGGGTCTTCCAGTTTGGAGTTTTCCAGAGCCCAATTATTTCGTCGAGCATGCGCAGTAAGAAATAAGGGCTCTGGGTACGATATTGACTGGAGCCGAAAAAGCGACGAGAAGATAATAACAATCAGCAAATCGCCATCCTGCGGAGTGCCCTTGTTTGTCAGAGGGGATCGAGATCGATAAGGAGAAGAAAGRCAAACGTACAGGAGAGCGACCTAGAGATAGAAAAGAGACTTTCCGCACTGACCTGAGATTGCTAATGACTATATTTCATATACAATAATAAATTGATTTAATAAGAATATTTATAAAAAATGTTTTTTTAGATTATTACTTTTAAAAAATGTAATCAGATAGCACAACGATGTATTGAGAGCATAAGAACGCGATAATCTGATTGGCTAATACTATTATCAGTTCAMTCTCTGTCTTGTTTACTGTTATTTGATGAATGAATGAATGAGACCTTTAATTAAAAAATAAATAAAGCCAGGGTAGTCCCTTCAGAACTAATAAAAGGTCTGCTATC